AAATAACAATAAACTCACTATATATGTTAGCTTAGTTAACATATTTTTATGAAAATTGTTTTTGAAGACAAAAAATATTTAGTGAGAAGAGTGGCGTTGTTTTATATGTTTGCAAATGTCTTTAAAGCCTGGCTTAATAGAAGATAGCTGGATTCTCAAATCTGCCTCTTCATTCAACCTATTGCAATTCTACACATGTAACTTATGGAAAATTCCACTCTACACTTGTGAGAAAATGACAGTGAAAAAAGCAAATAATATCTCAGTATTATTATGAAAATAATAATAGTGCTGAACTCACAGACCCTCAGAAAAGGTCCCAGGGACCACTTTGAGAACTGCTGTCCTAGAGGTGACAGGGACTTTACCAGAAGCACACACTCCAGAGCCACCTCCCTCAGTGCTTCAATGGTATTAATGCCATTCCAGCAGCAGAGGATTTGTTCATTAGCAAAATGAATGGCCAAAATAATTGTCCATTGGTCAAACAAGTAGTGTTCTAGATGTGTGAAGTACTCTCCATGTGCCTCTACCCTTGCACGGACAGAGCATGAGAATCTAGCGAGCTCCAGTGGGCTCTAGGTCTTAGGAGTCCTTCTGGTCTCAGGTTCAAGCCACTGAGTGAGGACACAGTCACCTGATCCCAAATTGAAGGCTGTTCAAATCTCATTCCTCAAATATTGTTGCTTCTGCCTCGGACTAAATCTTCAGAGAGGGAAGCTTGTTGGAACACTCAAAAGGACAGGAATTTGGGCCTTCACTGAGCTCACAGAGCAGGTTATATAACTATTGAGGACCTACTGGCTAATAAATGATGGTCCACAGAGTAGAATTCCATCTGAGACCTGCCTGCATTGTCTCAACATCCCTCGTAGCAAGGTTTGCTCACCTACCACTCATTACTGGAGATTCCTGAGATCTCCAGCAAAATTGAACCCAGTTGTGAACCCGTGGGCTTGGTCAATTCACGATAGATACTACAGCAATGATCCAGGAGAGATGTGAGGAGGGCCTTGGACCACGGTGATAGTGACAGAATGCTACAAAGTGGTTGGATTCTAGATATAAGGGGCTGTGCTGATGGGCCGAGTGTGGGGAGTGAGGAAAAGAGGGGAATCAAGGATGCCTTTGAGGATTTTAAGGCACCTGAAAGGATAGACAGGGCCGGCTGCAGGAGAAGCAGGTTTGTGGGGTAGACTGACTCCTCCTCCCTCAACGACGAGACAGTCGCCATCAGGCTGGGGTCCCATTCTAGGCCATCGGGAACTCCTCACATCCAGAGTAGCTTCTGGGAGAGAGTCTAGAACTGGCCAAAAGGGGTCGTTCAGGAAGAGACAAAGTGGGTTCACTGTGCTCTGTACTAAAGGGCTTGGTCACTCAATTCTCCTGTAGGGAAATCTTTTCCAAGTCAGAATATTTGGGGAGCTACTTGACTCAGTGTGTGAATGTCCAGGAAAACACATTCTTTCAAAGAATGTTGGTTCAATATTTATTAAGATCTTGTCTTAGACCCTGAAGATAGAGCCAAATAAGATGTGGTGCCAGCCCTCCTAAATGCTACTATTTGAGAGGAAATAAAACTTCCCTTCAAAGAAGATAGCCCCAGGCTGTGTATTCATTCATCCATCAAATATTCATTAAGAATCTATGTGTAAAATGCTGGAGATACAGGAAAATTACGAGACAAGCTGTTCCATGGTAGGATAGAGGTCAGATGAGACAAGGGGTTGTGAGGCGTGTGTGTGTGTGTGTGTGTGTGTGTGTGTGTGTGAGAGAGAGAGAGTGAAAGAGATTGAGGTGGACCCAGTATATACATATACATGGCAGCTATGTCAAGGGAGAGGCCAAGATGACAACTGCTCTATGAGCAAAGATAAGATTTCAGGGAGGAATGGGGTTCAAATTGCCCCTAAGATAGAGAAGACTCAGATGAGCCTAGAGAGTGGCAGGACCAGGAGGGGCCCTGAAGCTGATAAAAATTAGAGATAGGATAGCAAAGGATATGAGAGCAGGACTGGCGAGTGACTCACTGGGCCCAGTGGTCTGCTAGAAGGCAGGGTTACTCTAGATGTTCCTGCCCAGGCCTTGAGCCCAGGGCACTCCATCCCTGCCATCAACATCAACTTAGATTCTAAGTCTTAGAACAATTTGCAGATCTATGATATTTCATCACAACGAACAGCAGCTAGTCAAGGAGAAAGGAGAAATGACTGCGGAAAGAAGGAAAGAGATGAGTGTTTTATTGTATTTACTCAGACTCTTCACCTCCTGTCAAGTTCACTCCTTAGGCATTTTGTAGCATTTACTCCTCCTATTTTCTTTCCAGTTTTTAAAATAAACTTTATTGTGTGAGTCAGAAATGAAAAAAACTAACATTTAATGAGAACTTGCAAAATGCCTGGCATCACCATGACATCTCCAACTAGCCCTTGTCACTACCTTTTTGTATTCTATCTGCAACTGACTAGGAGTTGGCCCCCTTTAAACAGTGGTAACCACGGATTGCCTTGCCTTAGACAGCGTGATCAAGAAAGTTAGGGCGCAGATTAAAATCCACCCATCACCAGTTGTGTGACCGTGGGCAAGTCACCTTCTCTGAGGCTGTTTCTTCATCTGTGAAATGGGATAACGATGCCAAACTCTACAGACTTAAGAGGCGTTCACGGAATAATCATATTTAGTAAATGTAAAGCATCCAGCACAATCCTGGGCACAGAGTACGTAATCAATGTTTCTTCTTCCTCTGTCCACCCTCCCTTCAAACACACACACACATTATCTTTCTCAGGAACCACACCCAACATCTGGGAGCAGGGGAAGCACATGATTTAGAATCAGAGAATGAGGTTAGAGCCTTGCTTTGCTCCTTCCTAGCGGGGTGGCATTGGGCAAGTCACTTTGCCTCTCTGAGCCTGGAGTTTCTCCTCTGTAACATGAGAATTGTATCCCTTGACCCTCCTCACAGCACTGTTGGAATAGTTCAAGAGAGAGGGCCTCGCTTAGGGAAATGGCAAAAGCAATCAACAAGGATTTGTTAAGGGAATTTTCTAGTCAGGTTGGTTGCTTCTATTTATCGCCTGTGAGAGGAGGGACTCCCAGAACTGAAAACACAGTCTTCTTTGTAGAGGTTCTGGCTTTTTCACCTGGAACACTTGGTATGCAGATGAACGGCATGTTAGCAGTTGTAAAAGAAGGTACCAGAGCAGGATCTGATCACAGAATTCTGGCCTGTTCATGGGCAAGGTGGAATCTAAGATGGGAGGAAGGAAACTTTTGTAGTAATGATTGTGTGGTTTGGAGAGGGACTCAGGTTCCCAGCTCTAACACGGGAGAAAGGGGAAGTACAGATGGAGAGAATCTTCTTAAGGCCTGTCTCTGCTCTAAAACTCCACATTCTCTGAATTTCTGGTCATATGTCCTGCCTTCTTTCCCACGGCTGAGGCTGGTCAACAATCCCCCGCGGCTCTGAATTGCTTCTGCCCGTCGGATAGCAATTGATTATGCCTCTAATGACTCTTGCGATATCAACAGGGGGGCTTGTCTGTTTAGCTGATGGCTGCTATTCTCACTGAAGGGTGGCAGAGTAATCTTGGTAAACCCCAGCCAGGAACCTCAAATATAAAAGGAAAATGTAGAAACACCAAGGATCATCTGCCAAACTTGGACCCCTGCTCCTATGGGAACCCCCAACCTTCAGCCTAAACAATGATTCTCAAAGTGTGGTCCCCGGGCCAGCAGGGGGTAACATCACCTGGGAACTTGTTAGACACCCACATTCTTGGTCCCTAGACCTACTAAATCAGAAACTCTGGGGGTGGAGCCTTCCAAGGGATTCTCCCGCATGCCGACAAGTGGTTAAAGAAACAAACCACCTAGTATTTGAAAGTGTGAAGTCTTGTCCTCCTCATCAAAGTCCAAGTGTGGAACAGTGGCCTGAGCCAGTGCCTGAGTCCAGCCCAGGCTCTGCTACTTCCCAGCTGTGGGACTCTGGGCAAGTTACTGAACCGCTCTCAGCCTGTTTCCTGTAAAATGGAGATAATACCTGCAGAATCAGTTATCCTGGGTTTAGAAATAACACATGTATGGGCTGAACCCTAAAATGGAGCGGTAGCTCCATTTGCTGCTGGTGGATGGCATTTGCTTAAAAGCCCCAGAAAAGCCCCAGAAAACATCCTGGCCTTTGTCACAGTAAGTCTCTGGACACAGTAAGTTCTTTCAATCCTCTCAAGTCTCACATTTGTATCCACGGACTCAAAGAAGGGCAACCAAATGCTGTCCTCCTCCCTAAGGGACCCAGAGGGCCTGAGATGCCCTGCCCAGGCCGCAGTCAAAAGCCAGGACGGCTGCCCTGGGCCTGGCCCGGGAGGGGCCTTAGAGGTCAGCTCGCCTGACCCCCGCCTCTTCCGCGGAGAGACGGGGCCGCGGAGAAGGGCTTGGCCAAGGTCGCGCCGCGAGGCGGTGGCAGAGCTGGGCCCCAGCTGGATCCCGGCACTCACAGTCCAGGGCTCTCCCCCTGCTCCTCGCTGACGCCCCCGCCCCAGGCCAAGGGGCGCCAAGATCACTGCACTCGCCCCCACTGCGCCCCTCGAATGGATGTGCCCAGGCCCCGCACCCTCACGCCCGCGCGACCCGGGCTCCCGCCGGCCGGAAGTCCCGGGTCAGCACTGCCCACGCCGGCGCGGGC